AATCTATGCACGACACGCCAGAGAACAGAAAACTGACAGTAACGATATGCAAAGCCTGTGTTGCGTTTTGGCAGCTTGCGGTTTAAGAAGTTGCAAACGAAATTAGAAACATGTTAAGAATCGCAGAGGATGCAATTAGTCGCAGAATACCTGGCACCGTTCAAAAACAAAACACGGGAGGCATCCGGCAAAGTCGATAGTGCAATTAATTTAGATCCAAACAACAGCAGCGTAGGATCAAACCATCTGTGAGGAGCGGCGAGGGGCAGGCCGCCACGCAGGCGTGACAAATGGGCCGCCCGCGCCTACCTGCCTGGATGATGAGCTTCGCGCACTCATTACACGGGAACAAGGCCACGTAGATGGTGCAGCCCTTCACGTCGGCCGAGTTCTTGTTCATGATGGCGTTCAGCTCCGCGTGGCACACTGCGGGCGGGAGCGAGAAGAAAGAGAAACACTTACACTGGCGCCCAGGAAGAATTCACCAATAGTGCTGGAGCATTCCGTCCTGCCCTCTGCAATCTATATATATAGAGGGTGTCCCCCAATTCACGCAAGATTTGAATTTTGCGTGAGCATTAACAACAACAACAAAAAAAAATAAAAGCCTAATTTTACTTGGTTTATTGAATCAGATTCTAACATCTGTTGCCCTTTGATGTCAATCCCTTCAATTTGATAAGCATCACCAAGTACAATGATGGCCCAGGAGCAGGGACAGTGAAGACCAGGAGAAGAGAGTTTGCTCACTTGCTAGGATGTGCACTGACCACCAGGGGGCAGCATGAAACATGGCGGGCAACCAGCAGTGGCAGCAGGGCACTGAGGGAGTGAGGGAAGGTGGAGGCGGGGAGGCAGGGAACCCGATGGGCCCTAATCAATGGCCAGACCTAGGAATCCCACCCGTGCACGAATTTCATGCACCAGGCCTCTAGTAACATATCATAGACTCGGTTTTTAAAAAAAGTAATTAGAAACCGAAAGTGCTGAGAATGCAAATGAGGGCCATGTGGCCCGACAGGTTGGCGATTAGAAGCACCCCGGTCCACACAGCAGCCTAGGGTCTATGAGCACCTAGAGCCGCCAGGAGGGGCCGGGGTCAGGCACCTCCCCCCAGCCCCACCCCACGTGCAGCCACAAGGCCCTGGGGCGTGAGCTACCCACATAAAATGGCTCATCTGTGTGCTGATATGCACACGCGGGGATGTGCTTTCGCCGTGGCCACCGAGAGGGCAGGAGCAACTAAGAGCAAGAGAATCAGGAAGTGGAGCCGAGCATTTCTGACTGAGGGACCTGCAGGCCTCATGGCTCCCGGCCCAGACGCACACAGCCTTGTGGGTGCCCCGTAGTTCATCTTTTATAAGAAAGACACGCATCCACTTAACGGCAAGGAAAAGTCAAGTTTGGGGTTTTCCTTATTGATTTCAGAGAGGAAGGGAGAGGGAGAGAGAGATAGAAACATCAGTGATGAGAGAATCATTGATGGGCTGCCTCCTGCAAGCCCCACACTGGAGATCGAGACCATCACCCGGGCATGTGCTCTGACCGGGAATCGAACCGTGACCTCCTGGTGTATAGGTCAACGCTCAACCACCGGGCCACCCCGGCCGTGCGAAAGGTCAAGT